AGCGATTTTCTTGTACAAATCTGGACAATCTACGATTTGTTATAAGCTTTTTGGTCGGGTAGTGTGGTATAAGGCAAAGTACAAAACTCGGCAAAAGATTATCTCTTCCATTCCAAAGACCACAGTGAAGGTAGAATTAATTTTTCTGATGTTTCACAGCTAGGATCCCAAAATTCCACGTAACAAACTTCATACATGGTCAAAAAATGGTTTTTCCCAAATTTGCGAAAATGAGCAGCATCGTTGAATGATTCTTTTTTGAGTGCCAAGAGCTTTTGGTCTAATTACTCAAGACCTCACTAGAAGAATCAAATGTGATTGAATGAACAGATCATTGAAAGAGCTCGAAGTTTGCGAAGCTTAAGCAGCTGTATTTATGTCCGTTTTTGTCAAAGCAAACTGACAAAAATAATCATTTCAGGGCTCAAAAGCGTTGCATACTCTATGTTGGCTACTGAATCCACGACAAGTGTTTGACATAACTGCTCTTAAAGGACCAAAATATGGGTAAGTTGTTAAGGTTTACACAATTACTGCCTCAATGGTAAGGTAAGTTTCTTGAAGTCGGACTCTGGAATTTCCGCATTTTTAATGGGTATCAAATTCATTGAATTAACAAATTTTCGGTTTTTCCAGGCTAGAGGTATTCCGAAAAGTAATCACCCAGCTGCGATTGCTAGTCTGTGGTGGCGATGGAACGGTTGGATGGGTTCTACAAACCTTGGATAATGTGAGTTGTCTGAGTACCATTTAGGAAGTTTTTTTTAATATTGAGTTACAGCTAAACTGGCCTGCTTACCCTCCGATGGCCATCATGCCTTTGGGTACCGGGAACGACCTATCACGGTTAGTTTTCGTGGTCCCTGCGCCCTCTATCATTATTACTACCATAACAGGTGTATGGGATGGGGCGGAGCGCCATCAGATGAGCCGATGAGTCAGCTTCTATCAGCAATTCTTCATGAAACGGTCATCACGCACCTTGATCGGTAAGGGGCTTATTTCGTTTTTGGAATTTTCCACAGTTACTTTTTTGTATTCTGTAAGCAATATTTTATAGCTGGAAGATCCATGTCGAGCCAAACGAAACATGTCCTTTGGATTCAAACGACGACCTGAGTGATGCAGTACAGTCATCTC